AATTACATAAACAATGCTTATATTTAAAAATAATAATAATACAATATACTATGAATCACAATTATATGCATACAAGTCGGACGCTAGCTTCATCCTCCAATTACCAATGTGTGTTTGGTTTATCAACTTTACACCACGTTCAATACTCAAAAATTCAATGCAATTTATTGCGAAAACTCCACAATCGCACATGTACGTAAATAATAATATGTCAGTCAAAATATATTCACAATTACACCTTACATTTAACAGAAAAAAAATATATGATTTTGTTTGTCTTGCAATCGTCGTCTTTTTCATGACAGCTAGTCTATCATATACTACAATGTCTGCTGCTCTAGCCATCATGGAACAATGGTCAGCATCGCTCCAGTATACGCTCGAGCGGGCCCTGTATGGTACAACATCGTTGACTGAGCAAATACGATCTTAGCTGCAAAGCAATGCAAGTTCACTACTATTGGGACGTACAGATGTGTACAACTCATCCACGACTTTTCCCTTCTCAGACAGAGCCATGTCACGTACTCTTTATGTAATGGGGCAATGTGTATCAGTCTGATCCACTAAAGATCATGTTATGCACAATATGGATGGCACTAAAAAACTCGCAACTCATGATAACTCGACCAGAAACATCAAATGATTTCGAGTATCTCCGAGCCTAATCATGCAATTGTTCTATAGCCATATCGACAAGCTACAGTAGGAAAAACAAATAAAGATATAAATAACAATTATGTGAACAACACGAATAACAACAAAAGAGGCACTTATGTCGTCGGCGAGCCACACTCCCCCCTTCAATACATCATACAAAAACGAAAAAAAACAAAAAAAAGGCAAAAAACGAAAATGAAAAATAATTGATGGAAAAGAAATTAAATTAAAAAAAATTTATAAGATTCAATTTAAAAATAAAAAATAAAAAAGCATACATACAAAAAGGAAAAAATGAAAATGAAAATAATTGATGAAAAGAAAATAAATTAAGAAAAAGAAATTGAAAATAAAAAAATAAGATTTATGATTGAAAAATAAATTTTTTTTTTCTTAATTTAACTAAAAAAATTAAAATTGAAAATGAAAAAAAAAAAGAAAAAAAAAGACCAAGATCCGGACAACCCAGCTTGCCCTGTCCGAGCGGCCCTGGGTCGTCCTGATCCGGACGACCCTGTGCCTCCCTTTACGGACGTCTGGGCATATCTGAAAAAAGAATAAGTCTCTATTTTGTGGGAATTAAAATATGATTTTTAATAGAAATTGATCAATGTGCTGGTAAAAAGTTGCAGAACCCATAAAATATGTGGTCAAAATTAATTGTTGATTTTTTTACTTATACTGAAATCTAGATTTTAATTGGTATCAAACAGGGACTAAGCCTATGAAAATATGAAAGGTAAGAAATGTGTAAAGAGTGACCGTGACAAATACTAGAAGAATTTTCAAGTACTTGTCCATTTGAAAACCCTTGTAAAAAATAGAATACATCACTATGGACTTTTAAAAATTAAAAAAAAAAAGGAAAAAAGGAAAAAAGAAGAAGATAAATCTCGTGCTTGCAATTCTCCTTCTAAGTGCTTATTCATAAAACAACATCCCCAAGACAATATTGTGTGCTTTGGCTCAGTTGTGTAGCCCCAATTAGTTCAATATGTTTCATATATATAGCTTGAGGTTTTTTGCTCTAAAATTTGTGCCAAAATATGCCTAATATACCCCCTCAATTGTTGTCTAAATGTAGTAGATTCGGCCTAAAATTTTAATTTGTGCTCGAGCAAGAAAATTTTGCCCCCATGCGAAATTGCATTATTTAGTTTTTCCTCTTGCTCAAGCAAGAACGCTTAGCATATATTTCATTCTCAATGCATTCAAAACATATACACGCTCTCTTTTTCTTTAGGGTGTGCTTAGGAGTTTTGGGGACTGGCTATGAGTCGTTTTAAAGTATCGATTTTGAGTGTTTAAGAGTAAATCAATTTTGAATAGTTTTAGTAGAGATTTTTTAAATATTTGCTTTAAGTTAGTATTTTTACTTATAAATAAATTTTATAATTATAAGTTAATTTCGTACTTCTAAATAATTTTTACATATAAGTGATTTTTTAATTATACATAACTTTTTTATATTTTAAGCCCTCGTTTGGTGCACATTTTGAATCTAAGAATGCATTTTTACTATAGATATGATGGGGAATATGTGGTTGAAAAAGAAAGAAAAGTTATTGATATGATGAAAAATATTATTTTATTGAAGAATGTGTGGTTAAAAATGAGTAGAAGAATGAGAATAAAAAAATAATGTAGACCAAACAGTGCCTAAAAGTGAATTTTTATCTTATTAGTAATATTTTTTTTCTTTGTAAATAAATAATTTTTCCCAAAAGTGATTTTTTATATTATAAGCTTATAAAGTAATATTTTGCTTGTAAATAATTTCTTTAGTTAATGTATTTTTATTTAAAAGTTAGATTTGAACAAAATACATTGATCGAAAATAATTATTTTATAGTGTAAAATTAGAAAAGAATATGAGAAATTGTCAAAATTCATCGATTTGGTTAGTTGAAAAAAAGGTCAAAATTACAATATACCGATTTTGGGTGATTTTTAAACCATCCAAAATCAATTTCCAAAAAAATAGCAAGCGCCGACTTTCTCAACCCTCCTAAATAGTGCCATTCAAATTGGGTCAAGATCGGTGATAAAACTCTCAAATAGGCCCTTAATCTTGTTTAAAATATGAGAAAATTACCTGCATCCCTGCATTCAAGTTTCCAAATTCAAAAATCAGGGGTAATATTTATTTAATCAAAAATCAGGTTTTAAATCAATTAATAATGAAATCCCTAATTTCCATTCCCGTCCCCCCACCTCTCTTTCGTCTGTCCCTCCTCGCTCTCCTCTCTCTCGTCCTTCATCGCGTCGTCGCCGGAGACCTGTGAGCAGCGGCGACACTCCCCTGCGATAGCCGGCAGCATCGTGCCGAGATCCGTTATTTTTCTTCTTTTTCGTGGTTGTGGTGCCGTTTTTCTTAGCTTGATTTTGGATCTATTTTATGGTGGTGATCGATCCGTTGTTGTGGAGGTATTATTGAGGTGATTTTTGTGATGGTTGGTTGGTGGTGGATTTCGAATGGTGGTGATGGTGCTAACGGTGATGATGACTAAGATTGGTGGTGGTGTTGCGACGGTAGCGGTGGTGCCGCGATGATGTTGTTGGTATTGTGGTGGTGCCAATAGTGATGGGGGAGGATTGCCGAATTGGCAGTGGCGGTAGTGTTGATGGCATCAATTTTTGGCTCTATACCCAAAACTCAGATTGTTCTGGATGAAGCTTCCAATTCCTGTGAAGCTCCATTATCTGATGCAATTTGGAGGCTCTCCTCAAGCAGTGATCGTGAAGTACATCCCTGAAGGTAAACTTTTAAAGATTTTGGAGGACAGGCAATGAAATGAAGTTAAAGTTGTGAGCGAAGTCGAGGAGAAGGATGGAAAGCTTTGGATTGGAAGTGTCTTGATGCCATTTGTTGCAGTTTACAAATTAGACTAAGGATTGGTGTAGCCTCCTCATTTTTAATATTAAAAGTTGCTTGTAATTATAAAGTGCCTCATCTTGCTAGTCATTTACTTGGTTAAAACTATGGTTTTAACACTTTATTTATAAATGTTGCAATATGTCTTGGATATATATCTGGAAATCATATGGCTTTTGTGTAGTTCATTATTCTAATGGCAACCATGCATTTCACATTTCATATTTCAATTGATTTTTAGGGAAAATGATGAAGATTGATTTTAGTGGCCTCAGCCCCGCTTAGTGCAATGAGATTTCGATCAAATATGTGTCTATTGTGACTTGTTTGTGACTAATTATGACTGGCTAATTGTGACTTGTTATGATCAATTGTGACCGATTGTGACTGTTTGTGACCAATTGTGACTGGCTATTTGTGACGCGTTGTGACCAATTGTGATTTGAAATTCTGAAAATTTTTTGGAAGGTGGGTGTGGGTGAATGGGGTATAATTTCCAATTTTTAATTTTCTGAAAATTTTTAACTTGCCAGAGCGGCCGCCGGAGTGATCGCCGAAGCCGATGGCCGTCTCCGATGGAGAGGTGGAGGGAAGGTGGTGTAGTGGAATGATAGGATGAGATAGGTGATGTAGCATGAGTAGAAATAATTAATGTATATTATATTATATTTTAATATTTAAAAAATTTATTTATCACCTGATTTTTGAAATATTTTGATAAGTTTGTTATTTATGAAATGTGAACTTTAAAACTAGGAATTATGTATTGTTCCCTTAAAATATTGTCCAGCTTGGTTGTGTCCCATAACATAAAAAATGGAATAAAAAGCCAATAGAATCCTGTTCATCACAACTTACAACTATATGAAATTTTTGTTACGAAGTAAGTTTAAAATTCAGGGCTGCATGACAAAGTTTTGTAAAAGTTTTAGTTGAATTCAATAAAAGTTGATGATATATGTGATTGAAAAATTGATAAAAATTGTAAGTCTCCTGAGGTGTGGTAAAATTAAAGTGTGACCCGTTAAAAAATTCATAAAACTTTAGCAAAATTTTGTTAATCCCATGCTAAATACAGATTCTTAAAATCAAAATTTTCAAACTCATTTTCAATCATACGTTTTTAAAATAAAATAATTTTACACGTGAACCTGTAAATTTTTTTTACTTTTTAACCATGTATTCTTTAAAAAAAAAAAAAAATCAATTTTCACATTTTTTATCCTTAAAAAATCTACATCAACACATCTCCTAAACAAGCACAACCACTTATCAATTACCTCATTTTTTTTTATTTACTTTCATAGAGTTGAGTTGCATTTCCATCAAAAGAACTTTATTCAGAAAAATACATTATTCAGATACATTTTTCTAATTAAAATCACGAGTAGATTAAAGAAGTAAACACTTAGGAGGATACCTGCTGATAATTCATAATTATGTCAAGTACTTTTACAGCAATTTGCTAGGAATCGAACTCAATCTTGATACCATTTATTCGCACAGGTTTACTCTTCGGGACCAATGTCACAAGTACCTTGTCATAATCCCGAGCTCCTAATTCCTCCAACACTTCGGAAATCCTAAATTTTTTATTTGTTTTCACATTCATCCGGTGTCCATGGGGCAAATTGCTGAAGCTCCCCAAAAACTCAGTATTGTCTGGATGACTAGAATTCACGTCATCTTCATTGATGTACACATTGAATTTAACATAATTTTTTTTATCGTATTCTATTCCCTCAATAACAAGTATCTCCTCTGGCGATCCACTTCCCGACTTCTTTGGTCGTTTAACAATCACGTTTATGGGTTTGTCCAATGTTATTGGGAAAACTTGAGCAGGGTCGGGTGCAGAAGGCAATGTTTTTGCCTTTGCCCGAGGTTTTGGCTTTGTACTCACATCGATCCATGGAATGGGCACGTCTTCATATGTATATCCAAGTTTTGTGGGATCGAGACAATCTTGAATTCTCACTCTGACAGGCTTTGCCTCCTCATTGTAAAATATGAAGTAGGCATTTAACCAATCAGGGTCTGTAAAATTGGTTCCCTTGAGTTGATTTAGCTTTATGGTCCACAACCTATCGATATTTGCATGGTGAGCATAGAAAATTGGGTCTCGGGCGGCAGAGTACAAGGCACCCATGTCGATTGGATTGTCAGGGTCGACTATGGTTCCGGTCCAAGAATGCACGTGATTATGAGGAGTTTGCTCAATTTGACCAGCGGTATTGATTTCGGGGGTTTCATCACCGGCTCTATAAGGACTTCCGAAGAAATCAGCTGGAGTCTTTGATTGGGTAATCATTTGTTTATACATTGTGGCAAGATTGTACTTGATCTGAACGTTTGGTGGTACTGTTACATCGTCGTTGGACCAGTCTAGGTTGACCACCGTCGGTGGCAAGTGGGCCGGGTTGCGAAGGCAGTTGTAAAGAGGTGATTGGACACCAGAATTGAATATTGGTGGAATTTGCATTCCTTCCGGAGCATCCCAGTTCCAAAATGGTAAAGTAAAAGTATCATCATCAATCAAATTTTGGCAAATTTTCTCGAAAAAATACAAGTACCATCTATGCCAGGGGAAAAACATCCAAGAATTGTGGATTTCATACAACAGATTTGGATATCCCTTCTGAGTGTAACCTCCATCGCAGTAGGCGCAATGGACGTTTGCTTGTTGCGTGAAATTGCGTGGATCAGTCAGAGAAAGGTTCCTCATTTTCTGAATGGCTGACGAATACTTATTGTAGTAATCTGAATCAACAGTGAATGACTGAGCAGCCATTCGAGTGCGGATAGTGGTGGCCGAAGGAACATAATCCGGAATATTAGCGACAGCCGGAGGGCAGCAGTTGATAGGCGTTCCGTTGGGTTGTGTGGCATCAATGCAATCTTTGAAGTCAGGGAGCGCTGGCTTAGCTAAGGCCATTGGATTTACAGCAAGACTCGTGCTATAAAGCCCGCCTAAGCCGAGAAGAACATCCCTCCTATCAAGCTTCCCCGGAGAATTTTCGCCATTTTTGGAGGTGGTTTCAGGTTTGTGGTTATCATTTTTGGCTTTGCATGTAAATTTTATAGCAGGGTTTTTTCTTCTGTTACTGGAAAGGGGAGATTTATTGGAAGAGAAGGAAGAAGAATATGGAATGCAATTGGTTGCAGATGCAATTGCACAAAAGGAAGCCATCTATCTAGTTTGCATAAGTACCACCATACTCCCTCTATTTATACTATTTCATGGTATGGTACGGGAGTGGGAGTAGGCATATGAGTGCATGTATGCAAATCTAACCATTTTTTTGACCATTTGAATATATTTTTTATCGACACATTTTTTTTTTTTACCATCAATAACTTATTATTCACTTATCATGCATATATTTCGTAAAATCCACAATTTACAACGACTTTAAAAAATCAAAACTTTGCCAATCATGAACCGTAAATGGTTACTCTTACCTTTTGGATGAAACCTGAGTGAGGATAGCAAAATATCTTATAATTTATGAAGCAATTAACAAGGATTTTCAAGATGGATACTGGTTAGTAGAGCTACAGTTCATGTAAAACGTGGATTTATCGCTTGAGCTAGCATTAATCAATAAATCTTGAGAAATAAAACTAAAGAACCTTTCATCAAGTGAATAGTTTGAAGAGAAACTACATCGAGAAAACTAAGATTTATTCTCCATCAATTTAGAGTTAACTATATGAATTGTCTTCCATCACTCTGCTATTAGTTCGACTAAGTTCATTATGTGGGAAATATAAATAAACTACATATTCAACAATCAAATCCCCGACAATTTTTACTTTCATTTATCGTTGATAAACAAACTAAGGTATTTATTCGCATGTAATTCTTTGCCGGACAAATAAAGTGCTTGTTTGATAAAATTTTAAATTTTATCTCAAACTTTATTTTAACTAATAACATTTGTAAAACATTTATTAAAAATTTTGTCTTACAACCTCAAAATATTATGCTTGCATTCGACGTGCTCTAGCAGTTCTCGAAGAAGGAATTATACATTAAACATCAATAGGGACTCAACAGATTACTTAGTTACTCATAAAAATATCTTTTGGACTTTTTGTACCACATGCCCCCCACCAATAGGGAATGCCATGTGGCCTTGGTCAAGGAGCACGGCACAAGGATAAAAATTTCACATTGTTGACATGACAAGAAAATCTTAATTATTGTTCTTTGAGACGGTTATAAATTCAGAAAATCATAATTAAGATTCTGTTGTCACATTAGTAGTGAGAAGTTTTTATTATGTTCACTGTAAGCATGACATCAATTCTACTGTCTCTATATATATATTTGTTGTTATACACTTATACTTAAAAAGAAAATGTGACAAGTTATTTTGCCATTCAATAATATAAAGTTCACGAGGTTTGATTTGAACCATGAGCTCGACCTTTTTATGGAGAGGCCAACATGATGCCGGCAACTCATCTCGCCCGACGTAGACATAAAGTAGCACAGTATCTTGAGGTAGTTGCACATCAATTACACCAAGTAATGTATCTACCAAACTGACACAAGATTTGACAAGTTACCTTGACTGTCAGCTTCTTCCCACGCATAAATCTCAAGAGCTATTCAATTCTCAATTAGACACGTCTTTCAAGCTTTAAATCTTTAATGTTATATGTTGAAGTGGAACGATGCTAACTTGACCATTAAACAATAGTGCTAAATTGCACAATGACCAGACAAATTTCACAGTTGTCATAGGACCACCACGTTTTCCCCATGCTCGTCTGTCACCTGTTCTACCCGACCTTTTACGTAATCCTTGTTTGACAAAACATTTCGAAGATGACAAAAATTTTCTAAGATTATTAGTCAAAATTTATTTTTAAATTTACATTTCATTAAACCCACAATTTTTATAAATATTTTAATCACACATTTCACGGAATTCGTCAATCTTATAATCTCAAAAAACTCTGTTAAATAGGGACATAAATAAATAACGTTTTGTACATGATTCATATTTAGTTCTTAGCTTTTGCTCAATTAATTAGCACAAATAGTAATTTGTCGAGGAATCCATCAAAACATTCTCTTAAAGTGGTGTAAAAAACATTATTAACCATAACTTTAAATAAACAAAAATAAATTAAAAAAGAATAAATAAAAAGAATAAACAACGTATTCTTCAACTCGCCCACCTTAATTAACAATCATGTTTGGTGTACATCATAGTCTACATGTGTCAAAGTGTCATTTAACAGTTTAAAAAAAATAACAGTTTTTCATCCGATCACTTTTTTACTACAAGGGAAAATGTCAACAGTGATGTCAACCTTCAAATATACAAATAGCAAAATTATTTAATAAATGAGCTAACAGTTTTTCAATAAATTTTATTATTATAAAAATCTCAATTTTGAAATGTTTAAAATTTTCTATTATTCATTGATATTTCTACTCTCTTGAGCATTTACATCCCACTCATCTATCTAGGGGTGTTCAAAAGTCCCGACCCGACCCGAACCCGAACCGAACCCGAACGGGTAACCGAATCGAGAATCGATAGATTTGGTTCGGGTCTTAGGTCTAGAATAAGAATCGAAGAACCGAATAAGAACCGAAACTACATAATTTTTTTATTTTTATATTGAATTAATTAAATTATTTTATTTTTTTCTATACAAATTAGTAAATTAATTAAATAAATTAGATTATTTCATAATTTTAATTTTAAAGCCCAAATCACTTTTAAAAGGGAACAATACATAATTCCTTGTTTTAAAAATCACATTTCATAAATAACAATCTTCAAAAAAAAATTCAAAAATCAGGTGTTAAATCAATTTATTAAATATTTTTAATTATAATATAATACAATTATCCCAATTTATTAAATTTCAAATCCAAATCATTTTCTCTCTCTCTACTCTCTATCATCTTCCTATCCCTTCTACTCCGGTCATCTACTCCGGCGACTGTTTAGGCGATCACTCTGACGGCCTCTCCGGCGACTGTTCCGGCGAATGTTTCGGCTATCACTCCGGCGGCCTCTCCGACGACTGTTCTGACTGCTCCAATTTTAAAAAAAAATTCCAAAATTTCAAGTCACAATTGGTCACAACGAGTCACAATTAACCGGTCACAATCGATCACAAACGGTCACAAACCCCATCCCATGCGCATCCCACTTACAACCAACGCACCACCGCCATGATCACCACTATCATCACCAACCCTCACCGCCAACGCCACCGCCAGCAACTCCATCAACAAAAATTAACATAAATCCCCAACACCACCAAAATATGGAAATCAGCACTACCACTCCAACAACAAAAATCAAAACTAACACCACCAAAAAATCAGATCCAAATTTATCAATTACTGCCACGACCACCACGAACATCACACTACCTCTGCCTCCTCCATTTCCTCACCCATATCCCGAACCATAACCCAAAATTAGATCCAAAATCAAAACGCTGCCAACATCACCGCCACATCTACACTACCGCCTACATCACCATCACCACCACCAACTACAAACACTGTCAACGAAATCATTGCACAACCCTATCCAAAACCAAATCGCATCAACTGTAGTAACAGCGACATCGGCATCAACTGTAGTAACCACAAGCCGGTCGCACAACAACCACCATTGACTCACCAGACCGCCACATCACAACCACCGCCGCCACCATAGCCAACATCACAACCAGGCCGGACTTCACAGCAACCTGGATGCCGCACCACGACCACCACTAACTCACCAGACCGCCACACCGCCGCCACCGCAATGAACATCACAAACATCTCTCTCCCTTACAAACCACAAGTATAGCCGCCGGCGATCCCTTCAAATGCCGACATCATTGTTTGCAGCACAAGCACTCGCACACCACACATCGCGAGCGGGACGAGCGAGACTATGATGAAGTTGTCGTGTTTCTAACAGTATCGCTGCCCTGCTGTACCTACGGCTATGGGTGAGTCAGTGAGAGATTGAGAGAGGTGACGAAGAGAGAAGAGTCATGTTTAGAGAGAGAAAGAGGATTGATGTAATTAGGGTATGAAATTGAATTGTATAGGATAGATTATTAATTAATTTTATAATATTATTATTGATTTTAAAATTTTGAATTAACACCTTATTTTTGTATAAAAAACTTTTCAACATGAATTTTGAAATGTATAGTTTATATGTAGGGATTGTGCTAATTTTCCCCTTTTAAAATCCATTAGCCCATTTTGATTTGAAACAAATGAATATACTTTATATAGTTTTGTTGTAATATTAATATCTACCTTTTGGGTATTTGTATGCATTGAATTAATCTTATTGGACGGCTAGTTATTTATATTTTTTGAATTGGGTTACATTAATTTGTAAAAGTTACGAATGAAATGTAATTAGTTGTATTTATATAGTATTGCTGAAAATATTAAAAAATTTAATTATGGTACGGAACCGAACAGATCCGAATCGAACCGAACGGAACCAAACCCCAACGGTTCCATAATTATATTTGGATCCGACGGGTCCATTTATTAAATACCCGAAAGTTTTGGGTCGGTTCGGATCTTTTCAGAACCGAACCGAACCGACCCACGGACAGCCGTACATCTATCCCTAATTACCCATTAGTCAACGTGACCAACCATCATTGCCATAACCACCATCACTACTAACCCAAAGTTAGGAATCAAAGAAGAGTTGAATACGTTAGAAAATTATACATTATAAATCATCAAATTCATATAATTATTTATAAATATATTTTTTAATTGTGTAACAATATTTCCAACGTGGTGAACTTGAAACACTTGGACCGACGGAGAAGTTGCTCGACATTATAATTCTTGATGTTATGGGTCACGTAAGGAGCTTGAAACTACATATACAAAGTATTTTTTTACAACTTAGTACTAACTTATTATGCAAATATTATGTTAGACCCACAACTTATCGGTAGTTAAAAAAAATTCCAATCATGCACCCATAAGCAGTTAACTTTTTTAGACAAAATATGTGAGTAAGAAAAAAAAATCTTTGTTTTTTAGTTCAGTATGAATTACGAGGTTTGAGCGAAATTTCTTATAATTTATCTAGTAATTAACAAGGAAAAAATACTTCATATGACGTATCATAAGCTAAAGTTCATGAAATACTTTTGTTTATTGCTTGAGCTACA